TTCCCAGATATCCTCGCTGTCGCTAAAGATGTAGCAAGCTTTCTCCACACTCTAGTCTCTATGCAACACGTAGCACATACTCCTTCAATTGTAAAAATGAATGCATATCTCACTTTTTAAGGAGTCATTTTTTAATAATTTTTTTAAGTCTGACCATATAAAGAAGTACGGCTATTTCTAGCATGTAACGAGTATCATTAGATTATTAGTAAAATATATTTCTATAACAAATATTTTTGAGATACAAATATTCATACAGTTCATTCTTTTTTAGGACCGAGGAAGGATTAGGACAAAGGGAGTAGGCAATTCAGATCATCCCTTAGTTTTTCATTGTTTTGGTAGATCCCTCCCCGTCTTGGGAGTTCAGTGGTTCACAGTTCTCAAGAAATGGGTAATCCGTGTAGCCAACAACAGGATCATCGGTGTAGAATGTTGATCGATCGTACTTGTTCAGAGGAGCATTCAGATGGAATCGCCTCGGCAGGTCAGGATTCGCCAAGAATAAGCGGCCGTATACAACCATGTCAGCATATCCATCAGCCACAACTCTGTTCCCCTCTTCCCTGTCGTAACCTCCACCAACCATGAAAGTTCCGTTGAAGGCCTTCCTCATTTCGTGCAGCCTGTGTGGGATTTTCATCTTGCCATCCACCATGACCATCTCAGGTTCCACCGCACTGCAGTACATGATGTTGTATCTGTTCAGCTCCTGAGCCATGTAGACACCCAACCTTTCTGGGTCCGAGTCATGGCAGCCAAGGTAATTGGCATAAGGAGAGAGGCGAATCCCCACACGGTCTGACCCAATCTCAGCCACCACAGCACCAACTACCTCAAGGGCAAAGCGACAGCGATTCTGTATGCTGCCTCCATACTTGTCAGTGCGGTCATTGACACTGTCTTTCATGAATTGCTCGAGAAGGAAGCCATGAGCACCATGGATTTCAACCCCATCAAAACCTACATTTGATACGTGTTATGATTCTGATCACGTAAGGTCCTTGTACATGTTTCAGAAGGTACAGCAAGGTAATAGAATATCTAATCTTTGTAATCGAACAAACCGAGAACCTATAATATTTGTAATCAAACAAACCAGGAACCTATCTTACAGAAATTAACTACAATTTAAATTCTATTTTTACAGCATCTAATTATTATGAGCAAGTAAATTTCATCCTGAAAACAAAGAGTAGTGATGCTTTTTCTTATTTGCCTTTTATTTTCTATTATGTTGACTATCAGCTTACCAGCATCCACAGAATTTCTTGCAGCAATTCTGAAATGATTGATTACATTGGGGATCTCTTCTACGGTTAAGCGTCTTGGGATGGGGAAATCCATGTGGTCATCTTCATTCTTTTCCACTGGCTTATCTGTGCTGGAGATGGGTTCTTTCTCTGGTAATAAATAAGAAGGTAACCATCCCTCAGAGTCATTGGTTCCAGATATTCAAAATCAATTAAGCAGACTGACTAAAGTAAGAGATGTCAATGAAATAATTCAATTTTCAGTTCAGTTTTGGAACACAGGGTAGGTGAGAGGCTGCTGTGGTTGCAGTTGCACCAAACCTGAAAAGATTTCTTGCAAAAGATACAAGATGGCCTAAAAAGGCTTTGATGGAACCACGAACACTAAAATTAAGTTTGAAGCATTTTGCTGCAGGTGGAGGGTAGTGTCAAGTGTGACATGAGCACAGCATTCACCAAACATCATCACATTCATGATGGTGGTTAATAGAAGGAAATGGAAGGGGTCAGGTAAGAAATGTTTACCCATATCAGATGCTCTTCCTACATGCCAAATCTGGCAGAAGAATATTCCACCTTTTGCATGCACTGCATCCACAACAGGCTTCCAGGCCTCTACTTGTTCCTTGGTCCAAATCCCTGGGGTGTGTGGAATTAAACTTATCCCTTGAGCATCAGATGACACCCCTGTGGCTTCAGCAATCAGAAGACCACCCTCTGTAGCCCTCTGTGAGTAGTACAGTATGGCATGCGATTGTGGAAGATTGCCATATGATCTGGCTCTTGTTAAGGGCGCCAACACAGTTCTGCATGAAGATGAAGAAAGTGATCATAAAGAAGACGTCACTTAGTTCTTAGGCATGATAATTGTTTTCCTTTCTTCTGCGTGTACAAGAAAAGCCTGTATCGGACATCCATCTTAGACATGTATTTCTCTAAGAGAATTCCAGTGCAAGTGGCAATTAATGCAAAACAAACTATTTTATAAACCGAAGAAAATTAATCTCCATAGCAGAGCTGGAGCAATTTGCAGGTCAGTAACACAACTGATGCATGAGAAAGTTTGAAGAGCAGATGAGAGCAAGGAAATTGACATACCAAGTCATCCAAGTCTACTGAAACTCTAGCATGTCTAACTAACCTGTGTGAAAACCTGAATCTTTCTGTTTCATAAGGACTCAGAAGAGGTATAGATTCCATGATTGCTTCCCTTGCTCCTCAGCTGCTACTCCCCAAGAGGGACATGGGAGTGGCTTGTTTTTTTATGTCTACCACATTACTTACCAATATGATGGCACTCAAAATACAACAGAGACTCTCAGAGCCTAACAGATATAAAGGCAAAAAAGATGCTGGTGGGGAAAGGCAGGTAGGTAGGACATAAATAAATTTCCAGGGTACTAATGCTAAAGCACAACTGGACAAGACTGGTGGTTGAGTGTTAGACGGTAGTATGTCATGCGTGTGTATGGGTCCAGCGCTAGACTGTTTAGCTGGCCGGCCCTGGTTAGTGTCGACGCCGAGTACCGAGCTGTTGACAATGCCGTTGCAGAGGCTATCTGGTTGCGCCAATTGTTGTCTGAGCTGCACACCCCTTTGCGCAAGACAACTTTGGTGTATTGTGATAACATCAGCACCGTCTATATGTCTTCGAACTCCGTTCAGCATCAGCGCACCAAACATGTGGAGATCGATCTACACTTTGTTCGAGAGTGCGTTACACTTGGTGATAGTGTGTATGGGTCCAACGCTATGCTGTTTAGCCGGCCAGCCCTGGTTGGTTTAGTCAGAGAGATGAGAGGAGTAGAGAGATGAGAGGAGATCTCAGAGAGAGTAGAGGTGCAGAGAGATTGTAGGAGATCTTGACTGGTGTTACTTCTATAAACCACAAGATCTCCTCACCCTCACCTATGTAAAGCTCCCCTTCTCTTAATCAATCCATCATGCAATTCCACGCAATCTCTCCTATGTAGGGCCGGCCGGCTAAACCGCCTAGCGCTGGACCCATAGACACGCATGACATAATACTGTCTAACATTGAGGTCACAGGTTCAAACCCCCATTCTACTTTGAAACGTATTCTCTTTTTTTTTTGTTCAAAATAAGTAAAAAGGAGAAAAACAAGGCACAGGAATCTCAGATGGTTTTAACCGCCTGATGAAATATAAGTTAATCAAGTGATTTTTCTTTGTAAAATTAGGAATCATATGAGAAAATCTTACTGATGTCAGATTCTCTTCCAGGATAGCAAATCCGGTGAAAGAATATCCCACACTTCACAAACACAACATTGTCAGCTAGCTTCCAAGCCTCTAGTTGTTCGAAGTTGCACTTATGCCTTAAGATTCAGATGACAAACATGTGGCTTCTGTAATCAGGCCTCCCCGTTTAGTCATTTGCTAGCAGGGCAAGACTGCACTATGATCTTTATCTTGACGAACATGCGATAAATAAAGGGCTTGACCTGCCAGTTTGTTATTCAGTATGCCGGTTACCGAGTTGACTGCAATACAAATACGTACTTGACCTCTCAGTAGATGATAATCCATCCAGGAACAGATCTACTGGCAATGTTCAGCGGATCCTATCCTGCATACTTGTTCACCTCAATTTGGCTGGAACCAACTCAAACTCTGAACGGAACGGCCGACCGCTGCTTCTCAAGGCAAGGGACGCAGGCAGAAAAAGGGCAGTTTTGTTCTCGTCCGGTCCTTTTCGCTTGATCTACTTTTTAGTTATAGAAGAATATTTTTCTCTCATAGTATTTTAGTATAAACATTAGTACAAGTTAAATTTTAGCATACTTATTTCCGGATGTGCCCGGCGGCCGGCGCCACTGCAATTTGCACAGTCAGCGCACTGACGGACTGAGCCTTGAAAAATGGATGGATTCCTCGTCTCCCTTTGACCTTTGGCTATGACCGGCGGGGAAAACGGACTGGTGGGCTGCGGCGGAGGCGTCACTGCATACTGCATCCGACCGGCTGCTATCCTACCAACTAACTACACCACCAACCTCTGCAACAGCAATGTAAGGCCCGGTTCGTTTTAACATATTAGCCAGTTTATCAGCTAGAATCTACAGTATTTTTTTCTCACAATAAATCAGCTTCAACCAGCTTATCAGCCGGCTTTAATAATTTTTTTTAAAAAGCTTTGCTATATGTCTAGATATATACTATGTTTAGATAAAAAAAACCAGAACGACTTATAATTTGGACCGAACGAATAGACTACTTATAGCCCGTTCGGCTGGTATTAAAGTCGGCTGATAAACCGGCTAAAGCTGATTTATTGTCAGAGAAAAATATTATATTCTAGCTGATAATTCGACCGATAAATTCAAGCGAACAGGCCCTGCTGTACGTCCAACAGTGCATGGCTCCCTATAGGAGTAGCTAGCTAGATCGATGGTAGTAGTACACGCGCGAACCAACAGCCATGAGGCGTCCACAGCAACTGCACACGCGCACAGTGCTGCCAGGACGATCGAGGCAGCCATTATTGCGTCCAATCATGGATCAAATCGTGAGCTTAAGATAGTAGCTGGCCTCTTGAAGTGACTTGTTGCGACCCAGGCCGGTGCCCCCATCATGCGTTGGCTATATATAAGGGCGAAGGGCCACCGTGGTATCATCAAATTCCACATCGCATAATCGCTCAGCTCGATCGATCTTGCTTCACATGCATACATTAATTCTTTGGCTAATTCGCAACAACTAACTGGTTGGTATAGTATATAACACGATGGACCAAATGGGCAAGCACCTGCAGATGGCTTCCATGACGAGCAGCGTCGTCGGCGGCGGCTGCCAGTCGTCGTCGTCGTCGTCGTCGTCGTCTTCTCAGCAGTACCGGGGTGTGCGGAAGCGGAAGTGGGGCAAGTGGGTGTCGGAGATCCGGCAGCCGGGCACCAAGACACGCATCTGGCTCGGCAGCTTCGAGTCAGCCGAGATGGCCGCGGTGGCGCACGACGTGGCCGCGCTGCGCCTGCAGGGCCGCGACGCGCAGCTCAACTTCCCCGGGTGCGTCGCCTGGCTTCCCCACCCCGCGACCTCGCACCCGGCCGACGTCCGCGCCGCGGCCGCCAAGGCCGCCGACCGGGTGCGCTGCGACCCGGCGGGCCCGGCGCTGCTGCTGCTGCAGCAAGTGCAAGTGCAGGTGCAGGCGGCGCGGTGCCACGACCACGACCACGAGTTCGGAGCCGGGCCGGGGCCGGTGGTCGAGCTCGGGAGCGACGAGGAGTTCGCGCTGGGCCTGGACTCGCCCAGGCTGTGGACCGAGATGGCGGAGGATGCTCCTCGACCCGCCGGGCTGGGCCACCGGCGTCGGCGAGGCGGAGGTGGCCCAGTGCTGGTCACACGGCTCCCTCTGGGACGCATGCTAGCTCAGCGCCTCGCACCCGGCGCGGCCGGCTGCTCACTCTCAGTTGCCTTGGCTTTGGCTGCAAGTGTTTGGCCATGGCCAATGGCCACTAGACGCTGCTTAACCTCACACGTGTCGCAATGCTTTTGGTGTGTGCCGGGCTGCTCACTCTCTATTGATACTCCCGTGTGGCTTCGTTTTCCTGCTGCTGTTGGGCTTGCCGTTTTTTTCGTTCCCTGTTATCATCTTACCTGTATTAGTATTAGGAAAAATGATGACAGTCGAGATCATTTGAAAACAAAAATAGTACTGATATTATGGTTTGGTCTGTTCCTGCGTTTGTACTAATTTGTGCAGTCAAATTGGAGATGACCGCGCATGTAAGTACTCACCAAAAATGGTCTTGTATTTTAGTATTTTATTATTTATAATAAACATGTATGGTGATTTTTGTAGACAATTATATCTAATATGAGAACCGTGCTGGTATCAAAACCACTATATTTCCTCGATCTCAACTTTGTCCTAAGTCAAGATTATTTTAAATTTAACTAAATTGTAGGACAGAATATAAACCATTTATGGCACCAAATGGGACTTAGATATACTATGAAAATATATTTCTTACTAAATCTAATAAAACTTACTTGATATTATATATTAAATGTTAGTATTTTTATATAAATTTAGTTAAACTTGAAATGGTTTGAGTTAGAATAAAGTTAGAACATCTATGGATTATTTTTGAGACTGAGAGAGTATGTTTAGATGAAAATAGAGCGACTCTTCTATATATTTATCTAAAGACATTAAGGTGAATTCTTGTGGTCGCCTTTATGTTTTTTCATGGGCACAAATGTAATCATTTGATTGTTGGGAGTGCATGTGTGTGGGGTTGTTTGCGGTCTTGCCCTTTTTCTCTTGTTAATATAATGATGTGCAACTTTCCTACATTTTCGAGAAAAAAGGTGAACTCCTGTGGTTATCTCCTTACCTTACCTAGTCCGTACCCGTACCATACTACCCACATCAGAATACAGGACAACATATAGAGTGTGTTTGGTTTGTGGAACCCTGACATGCTTTATGAGGTGGTGCATCATGAATTCATTCTATGAATTTTGGTGAAATCAACTCATTCCTCATGCATATACTAATTTTTAGCTTGTGAGAAATGAGATGATGATAGATCAACTCATTGTATTCCACAAACCAAACAAAAAAGTGAGGAGTGAGAATTCATTCTATGAATTTTGGTGAAATTAACTCATTCCTCATGCATATACTAATTTTTAGCTTGTGAGAAATGAGATGATGATAGATCAACTCATTGTATTCCACAAACCAAACAAAAAAGTGAAGATTGAGAAGAAGATGGACCACCTCATTTCTCAAACACATAATGATTTAGCCATGACGACAGGGACTAAAATAACTGTTGCTGAAATCTGAATCAATCATATGCAGTGAGCTAGTTGTTCTAAAATAAGGCAGTATATGTCGTTCCATTTTGAAAAAAAATGCCATAACAAAAGTTGTTGGACCCAAATACAAATTGACTAGATAACATGTACGACAAACTGCATGATGGGTATTGAGGTGCATATGCACATGAGCAGTCAACTTGCGTTACACAACATGTCATGTGGTATTGATCTTATATTAGGGGAACTGATCTTTCAAAAGGGGGAGGGGCTAGCAGGCTGTAGAGTTATCGATTCCTTTTTTAACGGAAAGGGTCATGTATACATAATTACTCCAAGAGCTTCTCTAAACTTCAATCTCTATATCTTTATTTAAGAGCCATTCCATAAATATTCTCATCATGTCTTTTACATCTCCAATGGACTCTCTAAGTTTCATTCTCTAGCTATAATACAATGGCTTGTCATAATTTTTTTATATGAAAAAATCATAACAAAACTACCATATATTGAATTTAGAGAGCAATGTAACATCTCCATTAGTGGAGAGTGAGAAGGGTAGTTTTGGAGAGTAGTTTAACCGTTTTAGTCTATTTGAGCCTGATTTTTTGGGTTTGTTTTCTAAGTTTTTGTGATAAAGAACCAATAGGGGGATCTTGGAGATGCTGGTGGCGGAGATAGAGAAAAAAAGATAATGGAGAGGTTACACTACTCTCTAAATTTAGTATATAGTAGTTTTGTAATGAACTTTTCAACATATGAAAAATTGTGATAAGCCATTGAAGTATAGAGAACGAAATCATGAATATATAAAGGGAATATTAGTGGGTTGGCCCTCTAGATAGAGACATAGAGAGGTTGAATGCCTTTAACATGACTTCAACCAAATAGCCAATAAATTGTTTGTTTGAATTTTAAAATATAGTTTCATGATGTTCAAACCCACAGTAACATGGTCCTTACTTGTTGGCTACTTGATTGTAGTTTTATAGTAAGTCAATATGTCAACCCATCACCAATACTAGAATCAGTGTTAGGTAGAGCTACTAATGGTAGTATAGTGAGAGAGGATAGTTAGCAGGGGTGGATGTATAGAGACAATTATGGGTTGTTTGGTTTGAGAAATGTATTGATCTACTATCTTCTCATTTAATTTCTCACTTTTTTATTTTATTTCTGAAATGGAATAGGTTGGTTCATCACCATCCCATCCTTCACAAACAAACAATTAGTACAAGCACGAGGAACATGGTTATTCTACTAATGACAATAAATGAATATATGATTCACTGCCTTGTCTAGGATGACATAGTTCCACAAACCAAACATCCCATTAGGTTTTATTTGAGAAAATCCTAAATTCTTCACCCACTTCTCACTGGTCTTAACCCATCAGCATAACCATGTGGATTGTTTGAACTAGGAGAGGTGCTACCAAAGAGTGTGATTCGCGCGTGAATTTTTTCCTTGATTCTTTGTCACAGTGAAATAATTAGAAACCTTTTCCAACATTTTGTTCAAAGAATACTCATCCATCATCAGACCGTTGACAAGGATTCTATAGTTATTGGGTCTGTTTGGTTGTGAGGTAGGATGGAATGTGAGAAGTCAAGGTTGGGCCCTTGACTGAAGAATGATCAACGATTATTAAGATTATTTGAAAATTTCCTGGTTAGGATCTTAAGTCATATGTGCTTGATTATGCTAATGGCTAACTGAAAGTGCATTTGCCCCCTATGTGGGTTTTGGTGTATTGATGACATCCAAATTAGGGACTAATGAGATCTTAATGAGATATATTGCAGCTTTAGTCCCTTGAAAGTTTTAAAGAGTTGATCTAAGATGAAATGGTATCCCTCAATTCTTCAAGTGCAAAAAGCGGACGAACCCAAAGCGCTCTCCAAAGCTTTTATATTTTGTTTTGGGTTTAGGTATGCCGTACTATAAAGGGGGATGCAAGTTTAGGTGGTCTGAGGAAGATAGAGTGCTCAAGCATAAAAATAAAATCAAAAGAGAGACACAAAATCACCTCATGAACACTTAGACATAGTTTTGGACTTTTGGTAGTCGGAAATTCTGGTGTGAGCCAAGAGTTCCGACTATCGGAAGTCCCAACGTTTGGTGCCAGAAGTCCTGGTGCTTGCTGACCATGTCACCAGCCCGCCTGCGCACCTTCGCCCATCGGAAGTCCCGACGGGAGTCGGGAGTTCCGGGTGCCGAAAGTCCCGGCTCCCGCCGAAAGTCCCGATGCCCTGGGACTTAGCCCCCTGGCTTGGCTATGCGTCGGGAGTCCCGACGAAAGTCAGAAGTCCCGACTGCTAGAAGTTCTAACGTTCTGCCGGGAGTTCCGGCTCTGGCTATGTTGACCACCTTTGACTGCGCCATGAACAGAGTTTTATAGAAGGGCCGGAAATTTCGGCGATCTGTGTCGAAACTTCCAACGTAGATCTGAACGGTTGGATTCTACTATGAGTATAAATAGCTCTCTCCTCTCTTCTAACCATCAACCACTCATTCATTGCTCACCAACCTTCGTCCAAAGCAGCTCCCAAGCATTCAAGGCGTCCCTCTCCTCTCCCCTTTGCTCCAATCATGGATTCCCCTAGGGTTTTGAGTGAAAGGAGAGTGGATTGAGTGAGAGAATCACTTTGGCAAGCTTGAGCACTTGATTTCTTCGTCAAGCCAGTTGGATTTGCGTCTATTACTCTTAGGTTCTTGGAACCCTAGCCGGCTAGGCATCGCCCAAGAGCTTCCTTCTTGTGGAAGAGCCTTAGAAAGTTTGTATTACCCTCGATTTCTTAGTGGAAAGCTCGAGTGACCTTTGTGGTTGTTTTAAGAGAGGCAAGGAGGTGGAAGAGACTCCGACCTTTGTGGTCACCTCAACAACGAGGACGTAGGAGCTCCTTTATGGGTTTGCCAAATCTTGAGATAAATCCTTGTGTCTCGCGTGCTTGTTGTTGTTGAGATTTGTGCTATCATATTTGTTCTTGTTGGCTTGTCTTCCTCCCCAACACTCCTCTTAGGGTTTGCACTCGATCTATGGAGTGGTGTCCTTCCGGCATCAAAGGAGCAGCCCCAACACTTCATCTTACCACTAGGAAGTGGGGTTGTAAGATATCTTGCACTCAAAGTTTATTTTAGCACTTGTAGTGAAATTCTCGTAGGTGCCGAAACTCCTGGTTGTTTACGTCGGAACTTCCGGCTGCCAGAAGTTCCGGCCCAAACTATCGGGACTTTCGACTGTCACTGACATTTAACTTTGAGATTACGCAGAAATTTTTAGGTACGCCTATTCACCCTCCCTCTAGGCATTATTTAGATCCTTTCACTAACTAGCAATGTAGTGTTGTGTTGTTTTGTGTGGGGAAACATGTCTTCTTTGTTGTGTCTCTTGGCTTGTGAAGTGGCAAAGTGTAGGTGATAGATGTGTCCTGGTGATCGATGACAAAGGGTGAAGATCAAGCAAGGTTCAGGTCAATGGACCAAGAGTAGTGAAGGGCGAGCAAGGAGGCTTGGGAGCTTGGACTGAGTAGGGCCATGGAGGATCCAATTGCTCACATGAAGAGCAAGAGTATATGGAGACAAGAGGATGATGAAATGGCTTTGGTAAAGTCAAAGAGGAAGACGATGGCATTGTGACACCTGGTGTAGGCTGGACACACCTCTACATCAAGATGATGAAGATGGTGTCTATCAAGTCAAAGAGGAAAACGAATGCATTAGGGCATTGGTGGAGGTTAGACACGCAATGACATCAGTGGGTCACACTTTGCGAGATGTGCAGTGGGTTTGCTAGTTCGGTCCTCAAAACTAGGTGTGTATGGTTTGGTGGTTTGGGCCTCAAAACTACTAACAGTGGGTTTGACCGGTTTAGGGGTCAAGACCAAGGTGACAAGTTGGATCACACATGGCACTATCATGAATTTTATGTCAAGGTAAGGCTCCAAGTTTGTTTGATCCACCAACAAAAATATGGACGGTTTACTCCCTAGGGTATTTGAATTCAGTGCTTCTGTGAGGACATTTTGGAAAATAATCAAGTGGTTTGTTCCTTCGAGGTGTCTCCCTCATTTGTGTGTCAGAAGGCTAAGGTTAAAGGAAGAGAGGGAGACAGAAGTGACTTTTTGTTCTTAAATTTTTTGCCATCCTTGATCTATGTTAGAATAGGAGGTGTTTTTAATCGAACATTTTGAGGTAATCCAAGTATCGATCTTGTGCAAGTTTGTCCGCATCTCTCTAAATCTGAATTTATCCTTTCATTCTTTCATGAGTATTTTGGGGGAGTTTGGTGTGCTACATTGGCTGAGTTATAGGCACAATTTCAGAGTGTTTTAGGGTCCTTGGAACTTGTTTATATCATGGCTTGAAGCCAAAATCTTATCTCCCAAGTCCCTTCCTCCAAAATCCCTCTTTTCCTACCCCTTTTGGTAGATTTCATGAAAAATCTCTGAGCTGGAGTTCTTGAGTGTTATTTACTAGCTTCTAGGTTTTATGAGGTCTTGGGAGAACATATTTAGGCTTTCCCTTTAACAAATTTCCCACAAACCACCTTCAACTCCGTCTTTTGCGCTTTCTTGAGAACACCCTGGTTTGAGAGAGTAGTTCTTTAATTCATGGTTAAGCCTAGAATTTTTTGGAAAGATTCCATGGGATTACCTTTGCCATAAGTTAGTCAAGGTTTGGACCTAGTTTCATGATTTTGTAAGGTGATTTGGAGTGGTTTTGGATTTTTAGAGCTAGTCCTCTGTTTTTTTGGAGAAATAGGCTATGTTGGTTTTTTAAATCGGTTAGACTAGTTTTTGCAACTTGTTTTTTTGGAATTAGATCTCATAGATATTGATTTATCATGATGTTGTGGTTCAAATTTGATAGTCTTTGGAGACCATTTGACTAGTTTACTTTTTTTCTTAAAAAACCTACTCAGGTTGTTTATGAAGAAATAGGTTAGACTGGTTTTTATAGTGTTTTAGTGTTTTATTTTTGAACGCATAGTGTTTTTTCCGTTCTTCACTTGTTTGGCTTCAACCTATTTCTAGTCTCGTTCCTAAGCCCACTAGTTACGTTGAGACTATGTGATCATAGCGAGATACGCAAGAGATGCTTGGGTTCAGCTTTAGCCCATATCATCATCTACTCGGCGAGAAAATTTGATGCTCCCATTTACTCCCCTCCCTTTTTGCTCTAGGGTCTCATGTCTTTCTCCTCTTGCTGATTCGGCATGCTGACACGGTAGTTGAGCGAGAGCCCAACAACGACCGCCTGCCTACACATAGCTCATCCGTCTCGCCACTATCGTTGCGCTCTCGCTCAACTACCGTGTCAGCATGCCGAATCAGCAAGAGGAGAAAGACATGAGACCCTAGAGCAGTAGCATCAAGATGCAGGTCACGCAGATGAAGGCTAGCGACGTTTGGAACGAGAGCACTCGGAAAATTTTGCATGGTGCAACCGTTCCTAACCTTGTAGGAATATTCCACTTTGAGGTTAACTCTAACAATATGTTCTGGTACGAAATATTTCAAAAACTAAGATGAAATTGTTCTATCCCATACCGTTTCTAAACCAAATGCTATATAAGAACTTATAGCAAATAACGCCTTATTTTGAACAATGTATATCGTGGTATACTTAGGGCATTCGCAATGGACGTATCCAAGTTAGTTCTATACAATAAATAAATGTCGCTATAGGAGTAGGTCATTTACAGTGTAGAGGTGTTTCCATGGAGTAGTAGCTGCTATCCATGTAGTAGTAGCTGCTGAGTCGGATCTTAATGATAAAAAAAATATAAAAATCTAGCACAACTGGCACTGCAGAGCATAACGGTCTTTTTTTGTCAGCATAGGTCCTACTTATGGAGCCAATTCTAGATCTAAACACTATCAGCCAAATAGCAAATGATGTCTAATCATTGTGGAGTCTATTCAATGCGGTCACTCTTAGGGCGTCCCCAACGACTGACATGTTGCTAGCTCGGAGCGTCGATTAGCCAATCATATAGAGAGAGAATCAGAAAATTTATGTCGCTAGCGAGAGCGCAAGAGCCTAGCTCGCATGTCTTTCTAAGTTTTCTGAGTCTCTGACATGCATTCGATGTCTATCTTTTTTTTACTATTTCTAGCTAGCATGTTAGCGGACGATTTAGACGTGCTGCTTGGGATGCCCTTACAAAGTAGAAGAAAAGAGTAGCAACTTGTAGTGTCGTCAATGGGATGGCAAAGTGCAACACCGCTAATAGCAGAGTTTTGTAGTGTCGATACTAGACCCCATATATATTTATTACGGAGAAAGAAAGAAAAGAATGCGATACTTTATGGAATGTATATACGAGAGATCTCAACAGATTATATGCGTAAGTATAACAACGGCGAAAGATTTACTAACCAGGATTTCTCACGAAATTGAACCGTATCTCTAAAAAGCAATATAATAAGAAAATAAAATATAATAAAATACAGCTGAACCGTATCTCTAGAAAACCAATAATAGGAAAATATATAAAATAAAATAATAAAATACAGCTGTGAGCAACTGTCCTGTTTGGACCAACCACCTCTCCCCCTTCCGTGTGTCTCCTCCTTTTCCGTTCCAATTCTGATTCTCACGAGGACAGACATCGAGTCGCGCCTTGTGGGTGGAGGACACATACCGATCCTAGCGGCGGCGCGAGATAGTGCACCCACGCGGCGCGCGCTCTGTCGCCGATCGCCGTGGCCGACGGCCGACACGCCGGCGCTGGGGGTTCGCTAGCGCGCCGCTGGTATCCCGCTGCCCCCGCCTCGGCGCTCCGATGCATTGTTCTGCCGCCGCCTCAACCGACGCTTCCTCGGCTGCTCAATCTCGCAAATTCGTTTGGTAAATTACCTCCCAACTTCTTCTTTTCTGATGAAAATACCTCCCGACTTCGTTTGCTCTTCCGAAGCAATTTTGATGCATCGTTATTAAACTGATGACCTAGGATTCAATTTGTTAGCATTATGAGTTGAAATTCTTCGAATCGTACGGTTAGGGATTCAATTCTGCGGACTTTATGATCGTTCCGTTCTGCTAAGGAATTGGGTGGGCGGGGGATAGATTGTGTGCCTTATATTAGAACCTTATTGTTAGTTCTACAGTAATTTTCGAGAATTTTGCTTCTATACGGCCAAGACCCTTAGGTAGTTTATAGATAATGCAGTAGATTTACCTCTCTGAATAGGTCAGCTGATCCTGCATCAATCTGGATAGTTTTTGCTTGATGGAGTCTTCACTGTCGTCTTTTCTTTTTCCCTGTCGTGTTGGTGTTATATATGTAATTAGGTAATGAGCAATGATCACCCTAATCATAACGCAATAGTTGGTGGATCTGGAGAGGAGTTCCATCCATAGAAGTCACCGAAATTTTCAAAGGGAAAGTGAGACAGAGCTTTGTTAGACAATTCAAAAGGGAGTTGTAAACTTGTAATAGGCTTGTGACGCTGAACACGTCCAATGTTTGGTGGACAGAGCCATGTCAAAGATAAGCATGAAGTACTTGATTGGAAGCTTCATTTGTTATTGTTGCCCATTTGAAGTCTACCGTTGACAAGTATTATGTTTCATCTACTGTCGGGCCTGGTGCAAGCGGTAGAGTCTTACCGCCTGTGACCGGAAGGTCCCGGGTTCGAGTCGCGGTCTCCTCGCATTGCACAGGCGAGGGTAAGGCTTGCCACTGACACCCTTCCCCAAACCCCGCACAGAGCTGGAGCTCTCTGCACTGGGTACGCCCTTTACTCACCTACTTTTGTATGTGTTCCATCTGTTGATAAATGTATTGCTCCCTTTCCCTTGCAGGTTTCCTTTCTTAGTGTTTTGTTCGGTTTCTAGGATGTGAGAACAGCCTCTGTGTTGATAATAAAAGTGAGAATGCTTGGTGGTCTGGAGTTGTGGTGCTTTATGTAATGCACCTGATCACATACTTCACCAATATCATTGGTGTGGTGACCATTGCTCTCATCTCTATAGTCTCCATCTTGGGCCTAATTTGCCTCTGCCGCTCAGTGTACTTCCAACTGTGGATCAAAAGAAGAGGCTACCAGCGGCTTAGCTACTTCAACGGGCCATGGCTGACTCGGATAACATTGATGCTGGTTGCATTCTGGTGGGGTATTGGCGAGGTACTCAGGCTCACCTTTGTGAACGGGGAGGGAAGGCTAATCTCTAACCGGGCATGGCAAGTGAACGTGTGCAAATTCTACATCATCTCAAATCTGGGGTTTGCAGAACCAGGATTGTTCCTCTTGCTCTCTTTCCTTCTTAGTGCAGCTTTGCAGAAGCAAGAGCTTGGTACCTTGAATAGGAAATGGAACCGGAAGACTATACGTGCAGTATTCATTCTCTGCTCGCCTTCTTTGATCTGGGAAGCTTGTGTTGTTTTCGTTGGTCGTGTTTCCTCAGATGACGGTCAGCAATCAAAGGTTTCAAAGTACTGGTATTCTGCCTCTGCAATCCACAACGGCGACATTACATGCACGTATCCACTGTTGAGCAGCGTATTTCTTGGGGCGTTTTACATCATTTTGACTGTCTATGTCATGTTTGTCGGACGTCAGATGCTGTCTTTGGTGATCAACAAGGGACTCCGGCGAAGGATATATATGCTCATTTTTGCCACCGGAATATTACTTCCCCGAGCGTCACTTCTTGGGTTATCAGTTCTTCCTTGGCCTGGTGAATTAGTCCATGAGGCTCTTGTGTTTGTTTCCTTCCTTGTGTTGATGCTTGCTGCTATGGTCGGTATCGTTATTCTGGTTTATTTTCCAGTCGCCGATACTTTTGCCATAGGTGACTAGGAGCATATAGAGATGCAAGCAAGTCGTGACATATCCTATGATAGCCTTTTGACTTGATGTTCCGCTTTTTGTTCAAGGACTAACTGAGGGGGATCCCATGCTACTTCCCCTGGCTCTGGCCATATTTAGTCTTGAAACTCCGGCTGTGACTGTATCTCCAAAGTTTTGTGAAGATAGAACAGGTTAAAGTTGGGATAACATTCTGGTGTTTACTTTTTCCCCCTTCATCTTAACTCATGTGGCATGAGAGGTCCTGTAAAATAGTTCCTTAGATGGTGAAACTTTACTTTGTACATTGAGGTAAAGCTTTAAATATCAGCCTTTTGGATGAGCTATATCTTTTAAGCGATGCCTACACCATTTAGCAGGATATTGTTTTCTACGCGTTCTGTGAGAATGTTTAACGATATCCAAGATCTATACCAGCTTAAATGTGCTTTGACATCATCAATTATTTGGTAATAATTTGGCAGCTGAAATCTGTTGTTAGCAATACTCCTTTTGTTTTTAAATATGGAATTTTGGAACTAATTAACTTGTTCTGATGATCTTTTTTGTTATTAAAGAAGATGTAACTCGTTAAGCTTATTTGAATGTATTTTATCTTAGGTTTTTTTATGTGTAATTCTAGGAAGCTGTTTGGTTCTACCGTTGGTAACGCAAACGTAAATGAATTAAAGCTACAGCCGTTACTAGTGAGAGATACAATTGAACTAATTTTATTTACATTTGCGTTATTGTTGAACCAACCAAACAACACGTAGGATGTATTTGCTGAGTTTTAATATATAATTCTCCCTTTCCTCTGAAAAAATACTGGCATATAACCTAGTCAAGTGTTGTAGATACGTTAAGGCATGCTTGGATCCCTTGTTCGTGCTCCTCTCGCCACATTGAGTAAGAAAATAGAATAGGCAGTGCGTTTGGTTACTTTGTTCGCCTACCTCTCATGCAAGCAAGGTTTTTCTTTCTAGCTTAGACAAGTTGATTTGGCTCGCCTCACTAGATGAGGTAAGAAAATCCAGCGAACCCTAAGAGCAATACCAATTCCTTGTCCTATCCTCTACCTCTCTTTTAAGGGTTGAACAGGCGGAAACAAACCTCCAACTAGCTCCTCATTCAAGCCCAGATGGATAAGGCTCTCTTGTTTCTCTGTCCTCAACCCCCACGTGTAGGAGCCCCTGATCTAGCCATGAGCAACCATCAAGCCTCCCACATTAGACATTTCTGTCATAGGGAACTCCTACGTTGTCGGGACATGAAGGGAAGAAAGAGACATTAACATAGAGAATACCGTCACCGAAATCCTACTAAAATCCTACCGGTTATCACCTCCGTCTCCTGGTCCTACTTGCGTCATGTCACCCTCGTAGTAGATCCACTCGTGCTGGCTCACAGATTCACAATAGATCTGTCTAGGCTTGCCCTTGCCACATCCGTCCGCTTGTGGCTCCTGCTTGAACCACCCCACCACCCTAGCTGTAGAAGGGACGAAGAGGATTGAGTGAGCGAGGGAGAGAACAGCGGGGCATTGAGGAAGGAGAAGAATGAGAGAGCACGCGCAAGAGGTTGATATTTGAATGTGTTGTGTTTTTTACTTATGTTATTATTTTCATTATTCTTAGGTTGTTTTATTTTTGTTATGTGTTGTGTGTGTGTCATATGTCATTTTTTCTATTTATAACCACATTTCTCTACTAAAGTTTAACTTGCAAGTTACAAGACATGTATAAAATATATAGATGAGTGAAATATAGAAAGGCAAGTAGGTAGAAAGGCAAATAGGAGAGAGTTCGGTTGGAGTGCACTTGGAAAGTAGGGGCTGGATCTTGGACGAGAAAGTCCTAATTGAAGAAAGAGTCAAAATTTGATGTTCTGAGTGTGTTGGTTTCACGAAGCAGAAATGCCGGTAACCAGCTGACCCACTAGGCGCAAATAAAAATGTTTGGGCTTCTACACCGGATTAGTACTGTACTTCACAGCCGAATTGCTAACCATGTAGGATTAATTTCAAATGTTTAGGCACAATGCTTGACAGACGTTTTATTTTTTGGGCCTTTTCTCCGTCTTCAGCTGCTAAATACTACAGTATGTTTGGATTTGGTACACCTTTCACAAAGATCATCCCATGCACGGGCATAGTTATTTGGGTTTTTGCTCGTCTCGGCTCCGTTGCAAAGATAATTTGTGTGGCTTTTGAAAATTGCTTCTCAAAGCAGGCTTCTCCGATTGATTCCCACTAAGCTTGTCGAAGCCAGCAGATAGAGCTATCATAAAGTGCTTATCCTGCTTGATAGGAGTATAATAACCTCACGGAAAGCATTACAATGCACTCAGCTTTACATACAGACATACAAGAACCCTCGTACAAAAGACACCGGCAGGTTGCAGAGTGATGTCATAAACAAAGTAACTCATGCGACATGGGGGAGTTTGCCACCAGATGATGAAACCAATAATTGATTGTTCACGCTTGAATGATCATCTTGAACCTTTTTTTTCTCTTCGACAGGAAGAGAACTCGGATAGGCAGATCTACTCATCATTTTCCTGAACACCGCCAATACTAGAACAGTAACTTGTATATTATGTCTAGTGCTGCCATTTTTTAATTAGCCCAGGTATCTGAGAAAAGTGAAGTGCCAAATATTAGGTCAAGGCAAGGAAACGAAAAGGGGGAGAAATTGCATATATTTCATCAAATAGTAAAGGTGAGAGCAAACGATAGGTTCATTACTGACCTCGACACCGTTCGGCCCTATTCTGTTGCGGGATATGAAATTCAGTATGTGCGATGCGAATTCTTCAGGTACATCTTCCTGAAATAACGATTTGATGATGTGTCAAAAGTGGTAAAGATTTGTAATTCGTTGGCTAAAACTATATTCCTAAACCAATGCTTCCAAAAGAAAAGAAGTTCACAGACCAATAAACAGCACTCAGAGAATGAACCTTTCATTGCTAGTTCCTGCTATTGCTATGTGTAGGCAAATCAGTAAAATTTTTAAAGTAGCCCTAGAGCATTCAGGCAGAGCAGGATCATCACAAGCTCTAGAAATAACAACTGAACTGAATGAATCTAGAGGAATGGTACAGAAGCTCCTAACCTTGAAAGAATGATGCAAGGGACTCGTATATTGACATAACTCAAACATACTAAGAACCAACCTGTATGGCATGTCCAGTGTGCCGAACCACCACCATTTGAAACTTTCCTTGCATTTGACCAATTGTTAAAGCTCTGCAAAATGTAAAGCAAATAACCAATAAATTACACAATTTATCTTCAATAGTGTATCGTCGAGTGATCGAAGGTGTTTGATGTTTCAGAACACTTAACTATAACGACAATAGGATTCCACATCCAATGAAAGCGACATTTCAGAACATGACAAACAATTTTACAAGAGGCTTCACTTCAATAAAAGCAGCATTTTGATAATTGATTAGCACCCATCCGATTTGTCATTCAAAAGCTCTAGCAGCAAAGCCTGGCAAGAATTTCCATATTTTGTGAACCATAATCATGACAAGCAATTGACTTTTGCTACCTTTTGATTTATAGTTTATCAGTGATAATCAACAGCTGATAGACTAAAATTCATAAAATATATATGCTACAGGCTGACTTTGCAAGCCCAATCTCTTGCAACTGACAAGCAGCAAAACATTGAATGCTAGTGAGTTGAGTCACTAGCAAAAGGTGATGAAATTAAATGTTGAGTAAACATCATGAACATGGACTAGAAAATAGATAATTCCTCGTACTCGAACATAACAAACCTGTCTAGTCTGTCAGTACCAGCTAACAACAGGATCTTTTGCACTGGGCAAGATAGGAACTTGTCTGAAAGACCTTCATACCTAACAAAGAAACACATGCACTTTAGTATCAACTAATCACAGAAGAGAATTAGTAAAAAAAAAAAAAGGGCATCAGAAGACAAAACGATTTTACAAAACATGAGTAAATGACAGATTTTCTTTTTAAAAAAGGAAACATCACATTGAAAGCATACCATCCTTTCCAGTACTTTTCTGTTTGCTCAAGAGGAGTGCGATATGTATAGCTGAAACAAAGTATGACAGCATAATTAGTTTTGGAAATAATAACAATACTACATTTGCAATGGTGGCCAACAGGCCAGCATGATTCTTTATGGGCATAGACCTGTGAGATACAGTACTAAAAACATGCACTACTCAAAATACTGCTCACCATTCTCGTGATTCATCGTATTTCAAGGTAGATGGAATGGACACACGAGCAGACTCGATGTTCCTTAATGGCCCACCTTTGACACTCCACTCAATCTGCATAATTCCGAAATTGACTGAACAAGAAATAAGGCGGGGAAATAATTTTAACAATATCAACTGCTGCCTTAGCAAGAATGGTTATAATTGCATGGTTTAATACGCATGACACTGATTCAAAATGGAAATTAGTTTCATTGTATAGTTGTTCTTCCATTTTATTTTCAGCCTTTGCATGTTTGTGTCCATGTCGTATATATACACAACTCAGGCAAAATATTCAGTGTAAACCACATCTTGATTGCAATCCATGAAAACCCCATTAAAACTATACTTAGGAGTTTTCAAAAAATTTGAAACTACGCACACCAATAGTGCATCTGTAGATGTGCACTGTCACAAAATTTGAGATTCAAACTCGTTCTGCAAAAATTCATATAAAAATAACAAATTTCATTGGCATATGAATTTTGTCCTCTACTAGTGCATATGCCAATGAAATTTGTTATTTTCATATGAATTTTTGCAGAACGAGTTTGAATCTCAAACTTTGTGACAATGCACATCTACAGATGCACTATTGGTGTGCATAGTTTCAAATTTTTTGAAAACTCCTAAGTATGGTTTTGCAAAGGGTTTTCACGATTGCACCGAAGATGTGGTTTGCACTGAATATTTTGCCACTCATATGTGACTGACAGTTACTCCTTTCAGCTTAAAGTGATGAACGAGATATCTCTTAA